GCCAAGGCAAATCTTCCGCGTCTGGCTTAGACGTCTCAGAAAATGTCGAAACCTATTTGGCACCTTTCCGGCAAACGGCAGACGACGAAATCAGCCCCGTCACCTACACCCCATCTATTTCTGAAGGCATGGACAAGCCCTTCATTACACCTATCAACGTTCCTTCTCAGAAGGAGGTGGAAGAACTTATTCTGCAGCGGCGAAAAATGGAACTGTTGAAGAAGTATGCCAGTGATGCTCTGTTGGAACAGTGTCAAACGGCCAGAACGTTAATTGGCTACGACGCGGAAGATTCCAAATGATACGTAAACGGTGCCGATATTTGTTGTAAAGTTGGTGTCCCCTGTTGTTAAATAAACGTAGCAGCATTACGCACATATAAGCAATTCGACTTCGGACTGATTGTCTTTTTTGTTGATTCTCTGTAAGCAGACCGTTCGACGATAGACGGTGTCTTTCTGGTCTCCCTTTTGGCGCCAGCGTTGCTGTATTTTCTTACCGATGTATGTACGTTTTCGTTTTCAGGAACCGACGGATTTTCCGAGTCGCATTAAATGTAACACGAGGTTTGTGAGGCTCGCATTGTATACGTCGCTTCAAATTAGCCTATTAGAAGCAAAGTTGATTAACCTTGTTCACTGGTAACGAACGCAAATTTTTGCTGACATCGCATGGCATTGAAGCCCAGTCCTACCACAATGGTTACCGTCACACCAGCGCAAGGCCGCGCCGGTGTGCTGATGCGAAAGGCGTTCAAAGGTTGTTCCGAGTGGACGGAAAAGGACGACATTTTGGATGTAGTCTACTGGGCACGGCAGATCATCGGTGCGCTGTTCGGCCTGTTGTTCGGCATCATGCCACTACGTGGAGGCCTGGCTATTGTGCTGTACGTGGCAATTTCGACACTCTCTTTGCATTTCTACGTCACGTCGTTTCAAAAGGTGGACGAAGATTGGCTAGGCGGCTTCTGGGAGATCGCCAAAGAAGGATTCGGCTCGTCGTTCGCCACGTTTCTCGTATTTTGGATTGTGTTTTACACAGCTATGTATAACTATTAAGTTTTATTAAAATAAATTTATTCTGGCGTCATGTTTTTATTCCTTTGTCTCCGTCATCTCATTCAGTGAGAAAGCAGGACGCATTTCTTCAAATTCTAACGTATGCTATTGAAATGACCTCCTTTTAGAATCTTCTCTTTTACTATGCTGGTTTTCACCGTACTTCTATTCTCCTGTTCTGCTATCGCCACCGGTTTGATTTTTGCTTTATAGTCAGGTCTAATGGTTTGTTGCGAATGGTGAAGTTGGGTATTTTGTTGTTGTCTTCTTAATCATACTGAAACAAGCATAAAAACGATTTATTTATGCACAGCCTAATACATGTTATCCGTCGGGTGATTAACTAACATTAACAGTTCATGAGGTTGGAAAGCAAAGAAAATGAAATCGCCATAGCTTATGCAAAAAATAATGACTTGTGGTGTATGAAGTAAGGTTTCTTAGTTTGTGCAATAACCGTTCCAACTAGGAGAAGTTGAAGTCCCTCTGTTATGGTGATGTACTGCTTTCAAACTTTGAGAAAAGTCTGGAGTCTTATTATCACAAATGAAGGTTACGTTCTTGAGATTACTTACAGGTTTCCAGATTATGGACAGAATCTGTAATGACGGGATCAGGAAAGAATTGGGTATGATATACACAGTAATATCTGAGGCAGTGGAATGCCAAATAACGCCAGAGTTATGTAGTACATGCGTGTACATCGAATAGTGCCAGCTTGAACTGTCATAATGCCCTTGAAGGATATAGAAGAAGATGCCCTAGAATGGATGGACTGCATGTATGAGAATAAGTCGAGCGGGATCAGTTTTGAAACCCACAGAGTTGTCTGCGACAGATGATGATAGGGAAACTACGATGTATTTATAGCTACTAGGCGTATATATCTTTTATCTATCTTGTTCTCGTTATGGGAATGCCATGAACGCAAATCAATGCTCCTTCGAGAATTCTCTCTTCTCGGTTTCAACCTCCGTCGCTGACCAATTAATTTGGATTTGGTCATCTGATCTTTCTAGCGTGTTCTTGAACGACTCAATGTACTTAGTGTACAGCGAAATCCAGTTTGTTATTCTTGATGTTGGCCGGTTAACTCTTAGGCGTGCCATGTTGCAAGCGCTTTTCTTAGTGTGATAGAATATATAAATTGCGTTTTTAGTCCAATCCGTTGTGGAATTGTTGCACTCGATGCGTTATTTTGGAGGACATTCTTCCATGTTTTCCACTCCATCGTTCTTTGCCTGGCCATCGGTTTCCTTTCCTCAGCTTTAGTAGCACACCAACATTCAACACCGTTTACAATGGTTGGTGCGACTGTTGAATCAAACGGTTCTTTCCTTGCCCTTGTGGTTGCGTGATTCGGTACTTGCCACCTTCCTTCATCTGCGCCTTTTCCAGTCTAACGAGTTCATGGTGTTTCTGTTTGACGGTTGAGGTAAATGTAGTTGGTGATTTTGAATTATTCGCCATTCACGTTGACAGCCCCCGGGCATTCCTCGTTTGTACCCATTTCTCGTTCGAGTGGTTAACCTCTAAACCGATGCTGACAGATTTTTCTTGAAACGCCGAATCTTCTCTTGAACTCAAATGTTTCTTGTGTGAAAAAGATGCAGTCGCCCGCCAATAACTATTGCCTCCCCCTGTCGGACGATATTGATACCCCTGCTCTAGTACATTCGGTTGAAGCGTTGCTCCAAGGCTGCGGCGAGAGGCGCTAGTGATATTGTACCTCCTTGGCGCACTCCTCATTGAACTGCATATTTTTTAGCTAAACAGTCCATTGCTATATGTAGAACTGCACAAAAACGGATTGCTGAAACAGCACAGTGTAGCAAACTAACGAGCCTTTCACGACGTTTCGACCCCTATCTCAATGGCCTTCTTCAAAGTAAAAGGAGATAGTTTCCGGTCGCGCGGAAGTCATCTACTACAGCTGATCCATAATTCATGTGTATTTGTCTATCACCTGATAAATTGGCTGTACCGTATTGTTTTAATGAACTTTGTCAACTTTTTTTTTTACATTTCACCAGCACACTTGTGAAATAGTTGTACGTATTGAAGTACGATGAATCTAAGCCTCTCTATTGGGTTCTAAATTTGCATATAACTGTTATGTGCTGATCCAAACAAAGAATTATGCAACAGTGCACTGGGATTTATTTTAGTTGATGTACGTATATTCGCACTTCATCGTCAGCGATATCACTCAATACAGATGACCCGATTTATAATCTTCATTACTGCCAGTGGGCCAACAAGTCTTCTGGATTGGACGGTTTCTTTCTGGTCGTGGGCCAGGTGGCCTATCAGATATTAGGTTAAGATCGTTCCTTTTTAACCGTGTACCGTGGACAAATTATTGTGGCTGGAATGACTACTCCTGGGAACAGCTGGCACACATATGGTTGCTATCGGCCTGATTCCTCTGCAGATCATAATGTCGTCATGCACGGATAATAAATGGGTCGTCAAGTTACTTCTGCAATAACTGTTTCGCGCTTAACTTTAAGGTTGTAGTTAAATTTTAATATTGGGATACTCACTCGAGTGTTTTCGCATGTTTAGTGCGTTTTCTTCGTTTAATGTGCATTTCTAGAATACACCGATCTCTCTGTTGTGGTTATCAGTCAACCGTGCACATGGTGTCTAAAAAGAGCGCTGAACATTAAGCACAACTTCTTGGAAATTTCAAATAACAAGGTGAAAAGTTATTCTATTTCATTTGCCTCACTTTCCTCGATATGATACCTTTAATGAACAAAGAAAGAAACACACCGTGGTATTAATGTAACGTAACTGATTGAATATGTAACTGTGAGAGCTGCTCAAAAAGTCATTTGCTCTGGTCAGTTTTAAAGGCCTTTTAATACATATAGCCATGTGATTGTAGACAAGGTTTTCGACATTACATATTCTGATAACAACGGATGTTTTGAGACTTCGTCCTTTGTGATCTGCACATTCCTACTCTCTTTCTCCATGTTTCCTGCTTCACAGATAATGGAGATTTGATCTAACTGTTTATTGTTGTTTTAATTAGGGAACGATTTTCTTGACCCATCTTGATTTTCCAGACGTCGTCGGTGACTGGGCATTAGTGCCACTTTTCAAGCGGTAAGCAAAAACACAGTCGACGCACTGACATATATGATTGTTATTTAAGCCTCCATTCCCATTTTGGAACAGAGGTACCTCAATGGATTTTCTTTATCGAACAAGATACCCTTGTTGTATGGCCGGAACTGCTCCAACTGCTGACAACGTACGATGCCGAGAAGGTAAGTATGAATGGAAACTTATTTGCCTGATATGAAGTGATAGAGCTTATATGTGTTTGTCTTATTTCTTAGTTTTTTATGGGAATAAAATCACTCTAAGTCCCCTGAAATTGTAGTGCCTGTGAAAGCGGTCAATTTTTCCATATTTTTACTGTTGCGATTCTTTGCACGTGAGCTCGGAACGGCTTTCGAGCACTTTCTATAAATAGGTGTTTTAAAATGAGCGGTTTTTGGTCACCTCTTTGTATGAACTGAGTTATACTCGCGATTCACTTCGTTATAACTTTTGACACTTGAGCTTGTATTCGTCAAATGCGCTGTTGTTCAACCATCTTTGCTATTCTTGCACCGATGGAAATTTCAGAATAAGGTAAAACGTCCAGTAGCTGACGTATCCGCGGCTGATACAATCTTCCCACTTAGTGTATAGTAGCTGCCTCTCTCATTCTATGTAGAATAATTGCAACCTTCTCATGTCTTATTTCAAGTTCTGCCTTCATGTTCATACTGCAAACAGTGTTTGCAGCGAAGCAGGACTGAACCTTAACACTGAATTATGAAATTATAGCTGCCGTCAAAATTGTAAGTGATATCTGTGATTCTGTGAAAAAGCTGTGAAGTCAAATCTACATAGAGCCGTATTTTTACAATACGATACAGTCTTTACTTACAATTTTAATCATGTGTATGGAATCACTGACACTGTTATTCCCAGTGTACTGTTGACGATATCGTTTTTAATTTCTTTTATCATCTACTTGCTAATCTTTATGGCTGCGACATTTTATATTATTTGTTTCTAATTATTATCAAATTTTTTTAAATTTGTAATTATTGTTATTAGTAATTATTATCTGTATATTATTAGTTTGTGCTAAAGAAGGAGCACTATTTTTGGTTCCAAACGATTTGTTTATCGAGTATATTTAGTCCAGGCTTCTAACAGTTTCTATTTTTAATCTTTTTTGCATAAGGACTTGTTTATGTCTTTTCGAACTGAAATAAATTTAACAGAAAGTGAATTAAAAGAAGAAGTGGCGATGGAAGATGAAGTGAATTAAAGTTCAAACGCAATAAATGAATGTAGGATTTTATGATGACTTTGAAACTGTCTGTAAGGGTGACGAATATGATTTACCTCACCTGGTATCTCACTGTTGTTCTTCCGCAGCATCTGTACAAGTTTTTGTTCAGTATAAAGTGATTACATTTAATAATCCAACTAATTTATTCGATTACGCAGAAAGCATTAAAACGCTAAACTGTAACAGCTGTTTTTCTTTAAACATTAAACACTTTAAGACGCTGTTTAACATTATTCCAAATATTCCATATTACTTTTAAATTTATGTGCTGAACTATGAAATTTAATTGCCTTTTAAAGGGAAATACTTTACGTAAGTTTAAAATATTGCAAAAGTTTATGTA